ACAATTTTTTTTATCGTTCCACTTCTCCGTTGTAAACTCAAGTCTTGTTTTTTAATATCTCTTGGAATATTCTTCAGAAAGTCTCTCTCCACATCTTTGCCCCAATCAGAATCAATGCAACTGGGACCAAGTACCAACCATCAATTTTCATTACACGAGATTTTTTATGTTTTCTACAACATAAAAAACTATCTTGTTTGTCCAGACAAGATAATATATGTGGATAGAAGGATATGGAGTTGGAGATACTTCAAATCCTTTGCAGCCATTTGATTGGTTCATTTTTCAAACCCCTAAATCCCCACCACAATTCCCCACTCTTCCCTTCTTAACCACTTATTTCTTGATTTCTTCATTTTCTCTCCATATTATAAACTTTCCCTTCCCTTTCTACACGCTTCCAAGCTTGCAAAATCCAATCTTATCACCTCTTTTGGAAAGCAGCTGAAGAAATAATAGACAATGGCATCAATGGTTAGCTCTAGCAGTGTTCTTAGGCCAACCCCATTTCTGGGACAAACTAGGGGATCAAATGCAAACCCTCTCAGGGATGTTGTTGCTATGGGCGCTGGGAAATTCACAATGGTACGTATATGCTTCTGCTTTTGCTTTCTTTCTCCATGTCTACACCATTTTCTGACATTGAATTTTGGATTGTTGTGTTTCTTCTGTGGGATGCAATGTCGTAGAAAAATGAACTGTGGTATGGACCAGACAGGTTGAAGTACTTGGGACCCTTTTCAGCACAGACTCCATCATACCTAACTGGAGAGTTTCCAGGTGACTATGGCTGGGACACTGCTGGGCTTTCAGCTGACCCTGAGGCCTTTGCCAGGAACAGGGCTCTTGAGGTATTTATTATTTCATCTCTTTTTATTTATTTCTATATTCTTAGAATTTCCTATGTTTCTTGTTCTTAAGAAAATGATTCAAACACAATTTAGGTGATCCATGGGAGATGGGCAATGCTTGGAGCACTAGGCTGCATCACCCCAGAAGTCTTAGCGAAGTGGCTTAGGGTGGACTTCAAGGAACCAGTCTGGTTCAAGGCTGGAGCTCAAATCTTTTCAGAAGGTGGCTTGGACTACCTAGGCAATCCCAACCTTGTTCATGCTCAAAGCATTCTTGCAGTCCTAGGTTCCCAAGTCATCCTCATGGGGCTTGTTGAAGGGTTCCGGATCAATGGTCTTCCTGGAGTGGGAGAGGGAAATGACCTGTACCCTGGTGGCCAATACTTCGACCCACTTGGCCTTGCTGATGATCCTGTTACATTTGCTGAGCTCAAGGTGAAGGAGATCAAGAACGGCCGCCTAGCTATGTTCTCCATGTTTGGATTCTTTGTCCAAGCTATTGTCACCGGAAAGGGTCCCTTGGAGAACCTCCTTGACCACCTGGACAACCCTGTTGCTAACAATGCTTGGGTCTATGCCACTAAGTTTGTCCCTGGATCTTAAATTCATCTCCATAAATCTTCTTTGCTTGTATTAGAATGAAAACTATGAAAAGATCTGTAGATTATCCTAGCATTGTATTTGCAGATATGAGGAAATCTTTGATGGTTCTGCTCCCATTCCAGGAAAATGTGCATTTCTAACAAGAAAAGGAAATGATTCTGAGAATTGGGTTTGGGTCAAATTCTCTTTTCACTCAGAAAAAAAGGGCATATGAACATTTGCTTTCCAATTTGTATACAAATGATACCATAGAAGTTTGATTACATTCATAGGCAACAGCATATTCACAAACTAACTAACCTAGGCTAAACTATTCAGTGGAGAAAACACAGCTCCACGTCTTAAGAAATTCTATGCACATAATCAACTCTTCCATCTCCGACCTTGGAACATACATCATGCTATACATTGTATAAAGCAACAGCATCAGAGAATGGGAACAAACTACATTTCGACAACAATATTTCCCTTGAATTCCTCGGGTAATTGAATCTTCTTTAGTCTAAATCTCATGATTGTTAATACATATAAACACTATGTTGCTTTTGAACTTAACATCCCCCACCATTTCCGACGACCTTCTGAATGCCCAACTTTATTAAGCCTTGCCTTTGCCTCCCTTAATCTCACCTTGTAATCTTTCTTCCAATTCTCAAACTTGAGTTTTAATCTCCGAAGTTCTTCATTAGGATTTGTGTGAGAAGATTGCGGTGCAATTTTGCCCTTAATTAAGGGTTTGGCATCGTCCTCAAAAGCTTGTCTCTGCTGCTCAAATTCCTTTACCAGATGGCCCACTGCAGTCAAAGTGCCATTGGTCTCTCTCCCTGGCCAAGCGTCAGGAACATCACTTGCAAATTTCAAGGGTGTACTTCCACCAGGTGTTCGAGATTCCAAGGACGTAGCCCCTTCAGAATCATAAGGTGATGCGGGACCATCAATTTTTCCGGGTTGACCAGCAGCATTGTCAGCATGGAGACTCTTTCTGGCAGCAGTAAGACTAACCTGTGGTAAAATTACAATAGAATCACCATATATCTAAGTAATTACAAGAGAACAAGTGCAATTACCACATTGCCTGTTGTGGCACCTGGGCCAAAAAAAGAACTATCATACTTTTTTTTTCTTGGCTGGAAAACCACCATACATCTAAAGTGTCCTTATTGTACCAAAAAGAATCTATTATTTCACTTCACAGGATAGATTTTCTAGATGGTGGAAGGTGAAAATATAATGGAGAAACATGCTCCTTTTATTAATCAATATGAATAACTTGCATCTAAGCATTAAAGAGTTAACGAACTCACTTGCAGTGATGACATTTGCTTTTGCCACATCTCCTCCATTGATTTCATCCTTGCCTCATACTCTGACCACCTTGCCTCATACTGTCGTAATTGCTTCCGTAACCCATTATTTTCCTCTTCCTTTTGCCCCAGAGTTGTTTCTGCCTGGACAACACGTCTCTGAAGCTCAGCCCAGACAGAAGGTAGAACCTGAATCTGCTGCTCTTGTGGTAGATCCTACTCACCAAGAAAGTTATCATTTAAATCCAAAGTTTCTTAGAAGGTTACTGGCAGGCGATAGTGTAAGAAACAAGATCATTCATTAACAGACACCCTTATATACATTGCCTTCACTAGAAGACTAGAAGACACAAATGCTCTCATGATCACAAGGATTATAGTGGCTTATAAAAATTTCCAACACATTGGGAAGAATGTGTGTTAGTATGTGTATGGGAAAGGATTTCATTTCTGCCAAGTGGAAGGGAGCCTATCTCTCGCCCCTTCATCTGTGTGATGAGCTATGACACAGGCAAATAGTTCCCTACTCTATACGTGAAAGTAGTAACTAACAACATTTTCTAACCCTTTGATAAACACACACACACATGCACAACCAACTGGTTGCAACCAAGATAAAACAAACATAGCTGAATTTTTATGGCTTAGCAAATGAACCAAAGAGAATACCTTCACTTCTGAAATTTTCCTGCCAGACTTTCGCTTAGATTTTACACTTTCAATGTTTGACTTTTCTGAATTACACATGTTATTGAAATGCTTCTGTGCCAACCACCCACGGATTACTGCAGCAGAAAATTAAAGAATGAAAAAAAAAATTATATATATATATATAGTAAACAATAACAGCCACAAACCATGCTAACAAAACAACAGGACTCTACCAGATTGTAAAAATGTGACTGCCTTCAGCTGCTCATCAAGTACTTGTGGAGCAATAGCCGTCCACCTCTCCATTCCAATAGCATGCTTCCTTCTGATATTTTCACCACGAATAACTGCATTATAAAGTTAAATTTCATCAAATAAAAGCTTGAATTTTTGAAGACTCAAAAGCAAGGCCTTCAAGAATTAAAGGATTTAAGCTCTTTCGTTTACAGATCTGTATTCAAGTGATTGGATACACAAAGATGTCCCAGGAGGAGCTAAAATCTGAAAATCCCTCACAAATACAACGCAATATGCACAAAACTATGAAAAATTTAAGAACTAAATGAGATAAAAGATTGTTCAGAAGGCACTAGTAAATTATAAATATCATTAAACAAAATGGTTATATCCTTCTTGCTTAATTTTCATTGAATGAATGAGGCACGAAAAGAAGTGTTAACAGTACATGATTGTATCTTTGTTGCTCCCTCTTTGAGTTCATGGAAATGACAGCGAATCTGGTTACCACGGAAGTATTTCTGAACCCCAATTATGCCCTGCAGAACTTGTTTTCTCTTATCCTCCAAAGCCCCAATCTGCAGAATCAGGAAATATAGCATCAGAGAAACCCACTAGCTGTTAACCATAAAGAACCATGAATAGATCTCCATTCCAGAGCTAAGAATTAAGTTGGTTGGGTCTTGCAATTGTCTTCTGAGCAATATTCATTCTTGGAAGTTATCACAACTCATGACTCATATCTCACTAGCATGACAAAATACTATTAACCTCATCCTAGAATTCCATTTTAGCCCATAGTGTTGCTCATATAATGAGCATTCAAAACTCTCAAAGGTAAAAAAAGGAAATTTACCTGGCCAGTTCGAAGATACAGTTTTGTATAGCCAACTTGATACATTTCAGGTAGGATATTAAATTGTTGTAGAACAGCAACAGATATACTTAGTGGATCCTGCACAACATTGCTTCCCAAAAGTAGGAACCCATACCTAAAATATACTCAAGAGAGTAGATGATTAGCTGATAACTAGTTAAAGGAAGAAGAAGGAAAAGAAAAAATGAAACAAGAAAAAGAAGAAAGAAGAAGAGGCATTTAAGAGCTAAAACAGTCCCTACACCCTCTACCTTTCCGCAAATTCTTGATGCGCCATTCGACTTGGATATCCACATCTTGAGATTCTAACAACCTCCAGAATGCCACAACATCTGAGCTGTTGTAAGACAAGATCCTCTTCATACTTGCCAGGAACCTGCTTCGTATTTGGCATTATGCACCGAATGAAGTGTGGTGCAGTATTCTCTAACTGGTTCATTAGTTTGAAGAGTTGACTCTGCAAGCATGCAAAAACTATCTTAAAACTTGGGTAGCATGATCTTGGTAACACTTCTTTTCTCATTATTCACATATTTAAAATATATAATCCATTAGATACTTGTCCCACTACAGGCACATAAATAGTCAATTAATGAGAAGACAAATGACACAGTCAAAACTATATGCAATATTGTTGAAACTATTTTACAACATTCATGTTAAAGAAAGTAACCAAAGCAATATTACTTTACCTTGAATTTCAAGCCAACACTTTGTTTTGGAGCAGCTGACAGACTTATTGGTTTGGATGATTGGTTAAGCATTTTGGAGGCAAACAACCGTGGCAACTCACAACTACATGATGATAGGAGTTGGACCAACTCAAATTGCATTGGATCTCGATTCTTTTCCAGAAAGCCATTCGTGTCATAGAGAACCTGATACAACTCCAAATTTTAACATGTAAATTAAGACTTCAATAGTTCACTTCAGAATGCCATATGAAAGAAGCTGGCAGGAAAAAAAAATACAAACAAACAAACAAACAAGCAGACATTTTTAAAGATCAGACTTCGCTTTGTTGGTGTTATAGTGCTTTACTAACTTTACCAATCTTGGAAGCTCAGCAAACATTGCTTTTCTATGCCTATTCAAATAAAACACTTCACATTATCTTTACATTATGGAATTTGTCTATTTTTCTGAGAAAAAAAAAATCTAAGTATTTATATATACATCCAATGTCTCTAACGTATTCTTAAAAAGTATAATCTGTAATTTGGGAAAAGAGTGTTAGCAAGTGCTTCATTGTCAAAATCAGAGCAAAAAAATTTATGTCAGCTACATTCTTCAAGGCCTCATCTGTAATTTAAGCATGTAAGAAGCAACTGCCATCAAATTGCACATCATAGCATGTGATTGATAGGCTTTTAAAATAACCCCTTTTCAGATATCTCATCAAGATTTTGTTAAAGAAAATCCCCTTGCAGGATCAGAAGACAGTTATCAAAAATAAGCAAGGCTAACCATGCCCAGTCTATAAATTTGTGCTTCCTTGAAGTTTTTTCCTACATAAAAAAAGTTCGTAAGCTCTCAGAAAGGTCCTGAAAAGCTGCATACTAACCTCTCCAGCATAATGCCGCACACCAAATGCCCTGCCTCTATCACTTTTGAAGCAAGGATTGGCATTCAAGTGCTGCTTAAGCTTATTGGCAAAGGTCAAATCAGTTGCGTTGGGAAATTTTGATTCCTCATCCAATAAAGACAGTAGCCCCAAAGGTTTCTGCAATAACAACCAAAATAAAATAAAAACATAAATGTAAAATATTGTTGATTAACAATACATGGAAAAAGAAACTATAAATTCACCTTGAATTAGCAAACAAACTCAGATCATACAATCTACAAAAACAAAGCACAGCTAACAAATACATAAAGTAAATTTTAAGCAAGACTTTTACCCCCCTCTAGATGTTAACAATCCTTCATGTAGTCCAATACCTCCAAACAACACTCAATAATAAACAAGTGTTGACTCTTTGAGTTACCTTCTCAAATAGATCCAAGCAGTCTTGGTTGTCTTCAAAATCAACTTTAGTCCAATCAACCCCATCTAGTTCATACTCCTTTATAAGAAAAAGAAGCAACAACATTACCACACACCACTTTGGCCAGAATAACAATGTGCAGTGTGTGCAAAACACAGTTAATCTATTTAGACAATTTTTTTGGGGGTTTTTTATTTTTTTTTTTCCTTTTTGGGTTGTGGAGGGGGTTGAGGGTTCCATAACAAATC